TTTTTTTTATGGACTGTGGGTTGAATGGAGGTTGTGGGTTGAAAAGTTTTTTGGCTGACTTTTCTTTATAGCCATAAGAAAATTGCAACTGTCTATCAGGATATGTATATCACTAACAGCATACATTTGTTTGTATTTTATTTTGTGATTTGATTGGAACAGAGAGTAGGCTGCGGATGAGCGATAGTGAAGTGGAATAGAGATTCTGTGACACCGGAACTACGCTCCAATAATTGGTGACCTCTGACTTACAAATCCCAGGACTTTGCACTTCTCTGTCAAGTTTTAACCAGACTTGTATATTTGCCTCCGGCATCCTTTTCTAGGACAGTGAAAGAGGTTTATTGTAAATCCACATAGATCTATGCTAAACTACTGTTCAAGAGTTTGTGGTCAGTAAGATATATATATATATATATATATATATATATATATTATTGGAAAAAAATTAATAACTTCATTCAGCAAAGACAAATTAAATGTGCATTTATAATGTTACAAAGAATCTGTTTCAAATAAATAATAAATATGAATCAGGTATTAAGTGGCTATTGTGAAGAAATGATTGCAAACATTGTTTGTATGTAGTTGGCAGATTTATATAGGCGTTATGGCATTATCCAATAGAAACCAAGGGCTGCTGAGATGAACAGATATTCAGCATAGAGGACATGGGACTCACCTCAGGCATAAGAGTAAACAGAGATCCACTAGAACACATGCACATCTAAACAGCACTGCAATTAAATTTTTTATGCTATAAACATTAACATTTAAATAATACAAAGTACACATTTGTGTTTACTGCTTGCATTAAATGCATACATATGCTACTGGCATGTTTTGAATTTACTAGACTTCCACATTTACAACAGCAGCAAGTGTCTGATCCTCCTGTCTTTATTCCTTTTTGTGTTTCTCTCTTCTGATTCTTTATACTCTGAGGCTTTAATTTGGAGTGACAGATTTTTATCTGGAGCAAACAATGAATTAGCATGACAATACTTTTAACATACAAATCCGAAATTATTCACCAACCTCTAACCAACCCAACAGCAAACATTCACATCTCATCATTAACCGGCAGAGACACACACAACGACACATTCTCTCTTAC